CTTTATGGACGACGTTTCAATTAAAGGAAAAAAGTTCGTTTTAACCGAAAGTTCACTATAACCGGGTTCATTATCAGCGGACCTTACTGTATAGTAGTTAAAATTGCTTATAATGTACATAACTAGAATTTTACAGATTTGTAGTTATGGTTCTGAGTGCCTCAATTATAAACATTCAAACTCTAACGAAGAACTAATAATGCATGTGTTTTATTCAGACATCCGATGTTACTATCTTCCTTAACTAAAAATACCTAAGGCACTAGAAATGTTTATAGAGTCGCTTCTAAAGAAATCGGCACACATTACAAAAAATAGGAGTGCAAAAACGTTGACTCCATCCCACATGAAGCAATGCATTCTATCGGAAAGCCGATTCGACTTTTTAAAAGGTATGTGTGTTTATTAATTTCAGGTATTTCTGTATTTATTCCCTCTATAAGTTTGTTGGTTGCTTCTGTTACTTGCGCTCTGAGTTGATCATGAGTACCTCGGCTTTTTAAATTAATCGAGAAATAACGGATTGTTCTCGCTGATATTTTAAATCTATAGAGTTTTGTAGTCAAGATCAGGCTCGCATTCGTTATACCTTTTGCAACAATGTCCTTTTTGTAGCCATTGAACAGTTTTGATAGCATGGATGTGACGCCTAAAAAGCAGAAATTGGGCTTTTCTGTAAGATAAGATTGCTTTCTTTGTTGACAAGTCTTGCCAACATTCAATGAGAAGAAAATTTTGAAACATACTCCTAGAGGTCACTTTTTGTTGAAACTGTAGCGCACACTCATATATTTCCTTATTCTATAGCGAAAATGTGTAGATATATATTTTCCAGTACAACTAACCACAATCTGATTTATGGACTTGTTTAGCAAGTAGTTTGTTTAGTTTATTTTTATATAATAGTAGTATTTTTCAGATTTAGTAAAAAATATCCCAGATGCAAGTGTTCAAGAGGATAATGAGAACAATGCACTTGCTGATTCAAACTTGAATTTTGGAGTACTTCAAGATGAACCGGGAACACCTTTGGAGCTCCGGCCCCCATCCCGAGAAAAAACGAAAGAGAGCACTGCACGTGAGTAGTAGAGAAATTAAGATTTATGTATTTATTTATTTATGCGCATCCCTCTCGCGTTCGAAGTTAATCATATGCTTGCCTTGCAGATTATACCTTTACAACAACTAGTTTTCGCTCATTTAAGTTTGCAATTTTCCAATAAGAAATGAATGGGCAACTGCACATTCAACAACAACATCAATACATAACATTTCGCAAGAACTTGCCGAATGGTGCTTTTTGATGGGTATACAGGGCGATTCAAAATTGGCGTCATTCCTTTTAAGGGGTGATAGAGGCTCCCTTGGGGAGTACGAGAAAAATATTGAAATTTCTTTTCTTTTCGAAAAAAGCGAATTTCAACTTTGTTATTAAGCATTATTTTGAAATGGTTCCATGTTTAATTGGTAGCATATTGGAATACTTAAGCATTCAAAAAGAAAAATTA